TTTTTTTTTTTTTTTTTTTTTTTTTTTTGAAAGAGTAAGTGGATTTAGTACTTTTATACTTTGTCGGACGAAAAGGGGTGAGATGCATAAATAAACATTTTTAGCAATGTTTTAAAAGACGGGGCATGAGGCAATGCGTTTTAACTCTGACGAGACGAGGCGTAAGCCCTAAGATATGGGGCGTAAGTTCCACAAATCNGACTTACCTATCATCTTCTTGTGACATTTGTGACTCCAGTCACTTTCAAACACAGCTTGCCTTTTACTTTGTCTATCCATTTTATTATTTTATTTAACGACTCATATTGCGTAACATATGAGTCAATTTTTCTCTTCTTTGCTGTTGTCTTTTGATTCCGCTCTTTTCTTCTTATCTCCTTTAAAGAGCTGGTAATAATTCAAAATCTTTTTTTCCTTATTTGGCGTTATAGTTTAATGTGTAGTGAGCCGATCACATAGTTACACTCATTCCACATGGTTAAGGGGGAAATTATTTAAAAAATAGGATAGAAAGCTTGGGGGTGGGGGAGGACGACAGTGTCTTTTACTCGAGGTGAGTGATATTGTATTAGAAAGTGATTTAAATTGCACTAAACCAAATTCATTCTGGTTTACAAAATCATACTGATTAATAGAGCTTTTCCTGCTAACTATAAACTTGGAGAAATTAGTATTCTGTAGATAATGGATGTCTATGGATATCTGTTATCTTGATTGATTGAACTTACCCAAAGAAACTCTATTCAGGAGCATGTCGTACGGACTGGCTGCGGCCCTGTGTCTGTTATAGTTTATGGAGACCAAGAGAAGCCAGCACTGATAACTTATCCAGATTTAGCTCTAAATCGTAAGTGAGTAGTTTGCGTTCTTGAGTTCCATATCTACCATTTTCAGTATTCTATTCATGTGCTTTGGGGTCGTTTATATATCATTGCTTGTTTGTTGATCTTTGCCCGTGGGCTTATGCTGTTTTGCTTTCAAACATGCATTTTGCAGATATGTCATGTTTCCAGGGATTATTCTTCTGTCCGGAAGCAGCTTCATTGCTGCTCCATTACTTTTGCATTTACCACATAAGTCCTCCGGGGCATGAGGTCCATGAATTAGCCAGCTTGATTTCTTTCATGCAATCTTATTGGGGTTTTGGCTCTATTATCAAGTTCTGTTAAAATCGATTCAACTTATCTCCATATCTCACACGACAAGAGTTCTTGCAGTTGGGAGCTGCATCAATTTGTCCAGAGGATCCTGCACCTTCAGTAGATGATTTGGCTGATCAGATAGTTGAGGTTCTTAACTATTTTGGGTAATTTCTCGAGCTTTATTTACTCTATATGTTTTAATCATGATTATACAAAGACTGCAAAAGCTGTTTCCTTTCTTTTAGTAACTTGTTTGAACTTTGAAATCTATTTCTGCTTTTTGTGAGCCGTTTCTTGATAACTTCTGTATAAGCAATGAATCATCCAGGAAAAAAAAGAGGAAAATTTTTTAAGCTACATATTCTTGCTGTTTTCAGGCTGCGGTCAGTAATGTGTATGGGAGTAACAGCTGGTGCTTATATACTCACATTATTTGCAGTAAGTTTCTTCCTGAAAAATGCCTATGTGATACTCCTCTTAGTGGTACAATCATATATTTCACTAACATGTATTTTAAATTGCAGATAAAACATAGGGAGCGTGTTCTTGGTTTGATTCTTGTTTCCCCTCTATGCAGAGCACCTTCTTGGAGTGAATGGTTTTATAATAAGGTACCATTTCATATTTTTCTTTTACGTTTTTCTCAAGTGAGAAGAAAATATGCTCTATGGAATTTGAGATAATTGTTAATCCGCAGGTCATGTCGAATTTACTTTACTTCTATGGAATGTGTGGTCTGCTGAAAGACTTTTTACTATACCGTTACTTCAGCAAGGTACCTGTTGTGTCCCATTTTTTTTCCCCTTCATGTCTATTGTTTTTTCCGACTGATCAGAATGAATAAGGAGGTTGCTTTAAATGTATCAGGAGGTCCGTGGCAGCGCAGAAGTTCCAGAATCAGATATAGCTCAAGCATGCAGAAGAGTAAGTGCCTTTTCTCTGGTAGTTAGTTTGCAGAAGTTAGTCAATTTGATTCTTCTTCTACTTTTTTGTTAGATTATTGCTTTGCAGATATTAATTTTTGTCTAACTCTTGTATTTGTTTTTCTTTAATATATTTTCAGTTGCTAGATGAGAGGCAGAGCATAAACATTTTACGGTTTCTTCAAGCTATTGACGGGTAGGAAGCTTGATCTCACTGCATATAAAATATAGATAGCAATGTGTTGCTTTTGAATAGTCACAAAATTAGACCTCGCTAAGCTTGGTTTTGTGAATGAGCAGGAGACCTGATATCACACAAGGATTGAAAAAGCTACAATGTCGAACTCTCATATTTGTCGGGGATAGTTCTCCTTTCCATTCTGATGCTCTCCACATGACCGCAAAGTTGGACAGAAGATTCAGTGCCTTAGTGGAGGTATGATTTCAGTTTAATGTGTAACAACACACTATTTCCATATAGTGCTATTCCTTTTCAGGCTAAAAGTTATATAGGGTTAGGCCGGTTGGGCAAGAAGCTGTTTGTAGTATACCTGAATAAAATGATGTGTGCACGTTCATAAAAAGCTGCAGAAGTATCCTGATTGAAGTTATGTGTACTTATTTAATGCTATACTATTTTAAATGTTGATGTATTAGTTGGCAACTTGGCATTAGGCATTGGATCTTGTGTAGAGTTGTAGATCCTATGTGTAATTGTACTTTTGAGTAAATGCTCAATTAATAAAGGAATGGTGTTGTTCACGAAAGATATGGGGTTGTGATTGAAATTGCAGGTACAGGCGTGTGGATCTATGGTTACAGAAGAGCAGCCACATGCAATGTTGATACCAATGGAGTATTTCCTCATGGGATATGGACTCTACAGACCAAACCAGCTTAGTGGCAGCCCAAGGAGTCCTCTAACTCCGTCTTGTATCGCCCCCGAGCTTCTCTCTCCAGAGAGCATGGGCTTAAAACTGAAACCTATCAAGACCCGGATTGAATCCAGGGTCACGGGTACACGCCGATAATGCTGGATTCAGTTCAATTTAACTTGTGTATATTGAAAGTCCCTATAAGTTTAATTGTTTATGTTGGGGTTTTTGTTTCTGGGGATTGTTGTAATTGGAAGGTGAGAAGGGTAGGTATATATACATGTATGAGGTGTAGATAGGAAGTTGAAATTCTTTAATGGACATAGGGAGGGATTCATTCATTTGTAGGCAGAGAAAGGTCATTAAACATGTTCCCACTTTCAGTTGTATTTGTAAACCGGAAAAGAGACGTTTATTTATGAACATGACAAATGGTGAATAAGACAGCAATTGAGCTGGTCGGTATAAATTATTGTAGATTTTAAATTCATAAATGTATATCCTCCCTATCCCACTTCTGACTTCACCCTTCGGCCAAGGCTGAAAATTAGAAATTACTCCCACCATCTTCAATTGATGTGGCAAATTTTGAATGGAACTGTATTTAAGAAAGTAATAAGGACTTTGAAGATTATGGTTTAAGTTTACAGGAGATTATACTCCTTTTGAAAAGCCAAAATATAAAAAAGACATAATGTTAAAGTAAATTAAGGATTCGATTCGCCTATTGGATAATGGTATATGTGAGAGTCTCACACACAATTAGTGTGGATTTAAACTTCACCTCTCGCGCTTTCTTTTCTATGTCTGTTGTCTCTCCCTTTAAATTAAACAAATAAACTAATGCTATCTATAAAAGGCTGTAGATCATGTCTTCTTCAACTGTCAGTATTCTGCTGCTATTTGGGATAAGTTGTTGCTTGATTGGGCTGTGAAGAATAGAAAAAGTAGATCGACTGGGGCAATTGTCTATAGAATAACTTTGGCATGTGGTGTGTATTGTATTTGGCATGAACGAAACTTGAGACTATTTCAGCAAAGGAGCAGGCCTGCAAGTGCACTGATAAGGCAAGTTATTCAAGAAATTCACTACAGGAGTGCGAGGATGCCGCAGTTGCAAAGGAAACTAGAAGAACTTAGTTTTTATCCTTAAGGAGGGTGAGTAGTTCAGGAGCTAATAGCGGATAGATTGTCTCTTTGCTGCAGAGTTGGGGCTTCATGTCCAACTCTTGCCACTTTGAATTTTTTTTTTTAGCTGTACATATTACAATTGGTAAATAAAATTCTTTAATTACCAAAAAAAATATCAAATTCGCTACGTTTATTAGATCTTGAAAAATATGGAATAAAAATGTAGCTCGCTACTCACTCACATGCACAAAAAATTATTTTTTAGATGTGTATCACAATGATATTCATGACAACAAGGATTCTTAACCTTTTCTTATCATGTTTTGAGTTACGACCTGTATGGCTGTATCTTACTACTAATGCATGACCCAAAAAAAAATATTACTTTGTGTAAGTTGTAAAATGAAAAGTAAAGAGTGTTAAAGGCAGAAGAAGAACTTACGTTGTATTGATTATAAGGTTAGCTTTATATAGACAAGTGTAATACATAAAAGTTGTGAATAATGTAACAAATTAGAGAGAATTTAGGATACAGAGAAACCTATGTGAATAAAAATCCCAAACAAAAGAAATCTGATTAGCACCAAAAGAGATATTAAAAAACAGAATAACAAAGAGTCCTACACAGAAGGAGATAACTTGCTACTGCCGTTATTACGCCCCCGCAAGTTGGCATCGAGGTCTACGACGCCTAACTTGGAAAAATATTTATTGAAAACTGCTTGTGGAAGAGGCTTTGAAAGAAGATCCGCAACTTGATCCGCAACATGTAAATGGGTAACTTCAAGTTGTTTGTGCTCAACCTGCTCACGGACAAAGTGGCAGTCGATAGCGACATGCTTCATGCGGCTATGGAAAATAGGATTGGCACAAATATAAGTGGTGTTGACATTGTCACAGAGAGCTCTCGGAACAACAATTAAAGGAAACTAAAGCTCTTGAAGAAGATGGGTGAGCCAATTAGTCTCGGAAGCAGCAGCTGCAACTGCCCGATATTCAGCCTCTGTAGAAGAACGAAAAACTGAACGTTGCTTCTTCAAAGACCATAAAATAGGAGAACGACCAAGATAGATAACATAACCAATGGTGGAGGTGCGATCATGAGGATCTCCCGCCCAGTCTGAATCAGAGTAAGAAAGCAGTCTACGGTCACTCTCCTTGGCAATGTGTACAACATTGAAAGTAGTGGAACTGAGATAGCAGAGAAGCCGCTTAAGAGCAACCCAATGTGACATAAGCGGTTGATGCATAGCTTGTGACAACTTGCTGACATCATAAGCTATATCGGGACGAGTGAAAGAAAGGTAATGAAGCTTACCAATAATGCGTCGGTAAAAAGAACCATCAACTAGATGATCATCAGGTGAGGGGTCAAAAACAACAATAGATGTCATGGGTGTAGAAACACCTTTGCAATTATCCATAGCAACCTCATGCAGTAGATCCATAGTGTACTTCTGTTGAGAGAGCAAGAGACCAGTAGATGAACGAATTACCTTAACACTAAGAAAGTAATGAAGGGGTCCTAAATCCTTCAGTGAAAAACGTTTTGAGAGAGCCTCAATGTTATAATGAACACCTCGTTGGTGGTTACCAGTCACTAAAGTATCATCAACATAGGCCAAAATGTACACAGTGAATCCATTTATGCAAAATGAAGAGCGAGGAATCAAATCGGGATTTAACAAAACCCAAAGTAAACAGATAGTTTTTGCGTTAAGTATACCAAGCACGAGGAGCCTGCTTGAGGCCGTAAATTACCTTTTGAAGACGACATACATGGGTAGGATTCTAAGAACTTTCAAATTCTGGTGGCTACCGCATATACACTTCTTCATCAAGATTACCTTGCAAGAAAGAATTGTTAATATCCAGCTGATATACAGGCCAATTAAGTTTAGTGGCTATAGTTAGTACAAGACGTACAGTAGTAGGCTTGACTATTTGCGTAAAGGTGAAATGGTAATCAAGTCCGGGACGCTGAGTAAATCTCTTGGCAACTGATAAGTGGGAATTTTGACTACTTATTAGTGCCTTTTAGCTTTCGTTTTAGTCCAAAAGTGTCTAATTGTATTCCCAAAAATAGATGAAATATTCTCACCTGCAGGAGTATTGAAAAATGAGCCACTACGATGAAATCCAACTCAAAGAGGAGTGATCTGAATAAGGACAAAAAACAGGCACAGAAGCTCAAGTACAGACCGCAGATTTCTATTTGTGGCCGCAGAATGTGAAGAAAAATCAACAGAGCCCCAGTGCATAGTGCGGACCGCACAATTATTGTGCGGCCGCAGAAGCTACGTAAGAGCCAAAGTTCAGAGAGTTTCATTTCAAGATCAAGAAGAAATGCGGACCGTACAATAATTGTGAGGCCGCAGACCAGAATTGTGCGAATAGCAGAACATGAGAGATGCGGCCGCAATCCAGAATTGTGCGTCTGCAGAGTCAACTCCTGTCAAGATCTGAAGAGAAGTGCGGACCGCACATATAATTGTGTGGCCGCAGAACCTCTGAAAGAGCAATTTTGTCCAAAAATTCCAGCTTTGTATAAATAGACTACTTTCACGAAATTAGGTCAAGTTTTGAATATTGAAAGTCCTGTAGCCGTTTTTCTTTACCCCTTTAGGCAGCTTTAGCTTACTTTGGTGATTTAACATTGGATTTTTATCTTTTAATATTGCAATATAAGTTTTATCATCTTTTCTTCTCTATTTTCCTCTATACCCATTATGAATAGCTAGAGTTTTGGCTAGGGTTGTGACCCAACCTTAGTGTGTGAACCTAATGGGTATTTGATTTATGGCTTGTTTATGGTTGGGTGTTTATTATTTAGCCTTGTTCTTGCCTTTAATTGTAGAATTAATGGTTGAAAATATTAGTTTATGCCTATTTGACTTGGTCTCTACTTGAGAAAGAGATACTTAGTCTAGGAAAACTTGGCTAACAAGAATTTGGGATAAAATCAAGAGATTGATAGTCCCAATTAAAGGGTTGAACCTAGAGATAGTAAAACCCGTATTAAATGTATTGTTCAATACCAATTTGGACTTGAGAAAGCCAAATTGGGAAAAATCACTCTTTTACCGAGAGGTATTGAGTGAGTATTTGAGTGTTGATTGCTATAATACACTCCGACCAACAAAACAAACTTTAAAGTTTATAACCCGTTAGGCAAACACTTAGGTGAAGGTCATACCCCTAGGACTTTTTATATATTTGAAAACCATCCAAAAATATTATTCTCTAGTTTTATATCTTTAGAATTGTAATCCTTAACGTACTTTTAAAAGTAAAAATAAAACCATATTTGTGGAAGTGCAACCAAGATACTTCACGTGCTTTATCCAAATATATACCACTAATACCATCTCAGCTCCCTGTGGATTCGATCCCGACTCCTTGTTGGATATTATTATTATTATCGACCTTTTCACAACCCCAAATAGAGGCGTGACTTAGACGAGATCAATTTTTGGCGCCGTTGCCGGGGAGCATAAAAACGGATTTAGTTATATATTTGGTTTTGTGTATGAATTGTCTTCTTTTCCTTCCGTGTTACTAATCTTTTTGGTGAAATAATTGTAGGTGAACAATAGCACTCAACAGTAATGATCCTCTCAGAAACATGCCTTTGGGGGATGTGGAAGTGAAAGATGACCAAGTTGAAGAGGTTCCTCTTTAACCTCAAGCAAATAGACGAGGACGACCGCCTCAAGACAACGTTCCCATTCCACCCCCAAATCCACCAAGAGCGGCTCTACACAAGGTGTTGCCGAATGAAGGGTATGCAAGTGCCATAGTCCCGCCCCACACTAGGGCGGGCAACTTTCAAATCATAAATTTTATGCTCACATTGCTAGAGCAACGAGGATTCTTCACCAAGGCTCCGAATCAAAATGCGTACAAATAGTTGAAAGGGTTTGTGGACACTTGCTGGGGGAGTAAACAGACAAACGTCTCCGAGGATGATTTAAGGTTAAGGCTATTTCCTTTCTCTCTACGGGGAAAAGCCTTGGATTGGTTAGAAAGGTTGCCAAACCATTCCATCCATACATGGGATGAATTGGCGGAGAAATTTATTTTTAAGTTCTTTTCTCCCGGGCATATGGCTACTCTTAGAGACGAGATTCTAGCATTCAAACAAGAACCCAATGAGCAGTTGCATAAAATATGGGAGAGGTACCGAACTATGGTGAAAGAGTGCCCAAATAATGATATGACGGAGGCTATGATTCAACAAACTTTCTACAGGGGGATCAATACTACCAATCAATGCGTGGTCAACCAACTTGTCGGTGGAAATTTCATGACAACGCCATATGTGGAAGCCTGTGAGATCTTACATGAAATGGTGGATACTTCATCGGCATGGAAAAGTAGAGCAAATATTCCTCAAGGTGATCCAAACGTGATTCACCTACATAAAGAATTGCATGATCATGGGCAAGCAATTGCCGAGTTGACCACCATAATGAATCAATTATCCAAGGCTCAACTTCAGCAAGTGCAAGGTCCTAAGCAAGTCAATGCAATGGAGGGAGTTAATATGATGGTAAATAGGAGAAGGCAAAAGGGTCCTCAAGTGCAAAACCGTGCGGAACATTATGTCCAAGAAGATAATAGGTTTGATCAAGATGAATGTTACAATGACCAAGAGGAGGAAGTACAATATGTGAACAACTTCCAAGGGCAAAGAAACAACTCTCAAGGCCCGAATCAATAACAATGGCGACCTTATGGTAATCAGGGGAATTGGAACAATCAAAACAACCAAGGGAATTGGAACAATAAAAACAACCAAGAGAATTGGAATAATAAAAACAATCAAGGAAATTGGAATGGTCAAAATAACCAAGGCAATTGGAGTGGCAATAGTCAAGAATATTGGGAAGGCAACAACCAAGGGGGGTGGAAGAATAACCAAGGAAATCAGGGGTCGGGCTTTCAAAGGCCCCCGATGTATCAACAACCGAACAACCCGCCTTCTTATCCTTCCAATGGTCTAAGCTCTTTCAACAGTGAGATGGGACGAATTGAGAACATGTTCAAACAAATGATGGAGAAGAATGCCGACCCAATGCCCAACTAGCCTCTCACAACACTTCAATTCACAATTTGGAAGTTCAATTGGGGAAAATCTCGCAAGCTTTAAACAGTCGTCCTAAGGGGTCACTACCAAGTGACACGGTGGTGAACCCAAAGGGTGGGAATAACACGGGATATGCCATGGCTGTTACTACAAGGAGTGGAAAAGGTAGGGATGCACACACCTCAAGTCAAAGGAAAATTGTGGATGATGAGCAATTGGTACAAGAAGATGAGATCCCGAACAATTTGGTGCAAGAAAAGGATGAAGTAAGAATTGATATTGATGACAATGTGGAGGAGACTCAAGAGGAAGTGAACCCGTCTAGGGAGCACATTGTTGACATACCGGAACTGGTAGTGCCAAAGGCTAAGGCATCAATGCCAAGGCCTCCTCCTCCATATCCTCAAAGGCTTGCCAAGCAAAATGGCGAGAATCAATTCAAAACTTTCATTGACATGATGAAGAGTCTATCTATTAATGTTCCATTGGTAGAGGCTTTGGAGCAAATGCCCGGTTATGCAAAGTTCATGAAGGACTTGGTGACAAAGAAGCGGTCGATGAATTGTGAAACTATAAAGATGACTCATCTGGTGAGTGCAATTGTGCACTCAATGGCTACTAAATTAGAAGATCCCAGCGCTTTCATAATCCCTTGTACCATTGGAAGTGCCGACTTTGCTAAAGCTCTTTGTGATCTTGGGGCAAGTATCAATTTGATGCCCTATTTGATTTTTAAGACTTTGGGAATTAGGCAACCAAGACCCACATCTATGATATTACAAATGGCGGATCGTACCATGAAGAGACCATTGGGTATCATTGATGATGTGTTGGTTCGTGTTGATAAATTCATTCTCCCGGCGAATTTTGTGATTGTTGATTGTGAAGTGGACTATGAGGTGCCGATTATTCTGGGTAGACCTTTCCTTGCTACGAGGAAGGCTCTTATTGATGTGGAAGCTGATGAACTCACTTTATGGGTGGGTGATGAAAAGGCGGTGTTCCACGTGTGCAAATCTATGAGGTAACCGAATAGCAATGAAGTGTGTTCGTTTGTGGACTTGGTGACCGATGTGATTATTGATGATACTAGTGCCATGAAGAATGTTGATGATACTTTGGAGGCCATTTTTATTAACCTTGATGATGACGAGACAGATGGCTATGTGAAATACGTGAACTCATTGCAAGGAATGGGGTCGTACCCTTATGAACCCCGCAAATTGTCATTGGATCTTGAAAATTGGAAGAAACCTCCTACAAAGCCCTCAATCGAGAAGCCTCCCACTTTGGAGTTGAAGTCATTGCCTCCGCATATCAGGTATGAATTCCTTGGCCCTTGTTCTACTTTATCGGTTATTCTTTCCTCTTGTTTGACTAACCTGCAGGTAGACTCCACATTGGCGGTGCTACGAAAGAGGAAGGAAGCTATTGGATGGACATTGGTGGATATTTGGGGAATAAGCCCCGCATTTTGCACGCACAATATTAATTTAGAGGAAGATTCCAAACCCTCCATTGAACATCAAAGGAGGCTAAATAAAGATATGCAAGAGGTGGTCAAAAAGGAGATCATCAAGTGGTTAGATGCAGGGGTTGTTTACCCCATTTCTGATAGTTCGTGGAACTCTCCGGTGCAATGTGTCCCAAAGAAAGGGGGCACGACGGTGGTTACCAATGACAAGAACGAGTTGATTCCTACAAGAACGGTGACCGAGTGGAGAGTATGTATGGACTATCACAAGCTCAACAAATTCACAAGGAAGGATCATTTCCTACTTCCCTTCCTAGATCAAATACTTGATAGGTTGGCCGACCGTGCTTTCTATTGTTTCCTTGATGGGTATTCCGGCTACAATCAAGTTCTTATTGCTCTGGAGGATCAAGAGAAGACTACTTTCACATGTCCTTATGGTACTTTCGCATTCTCGCGGATGCCATTTGGGTTATGCAATGCACCGACGACTTTTCAAAGGTGTATGATGGCTATCTTCACGGACATGGTGGAGAATTTCCTTGAAGTCTTTAAGGATGACTTTTCGGTGCTCAGGAATTCTTTTGATGATTGCTTGAAAAATTTGGACAAGGTCTTGGCAAGATGTGAAGAGACGAACTTGGTGTTAAATTGGGAGAAATGTCATTTCATGGTTCAGGAAGGCATTGTCCTTGGCC